GCCATTTGAATGTCATGGTACAGTATGAAGCAGAGGAAAAACATAAGCTTTAGATTAATGGTTTTCACATATAATGCAGGCGATTATCTCTTCTGTTGGTTTTACATCAGATCAAATAACCACTCTGCCGAAGTACTACAATAAGTACTGCTAGTGTGGCTGCAATCTTGTTAACTTAAAAATAAATCCTATCTCTCACTGTAGTCTTTATTTATATTACCGAGGACACTAATTCATGTTTTTCCCAGTCATTTAAATCAGTGAATGAAAGTTATTTTTAGGTGTGATCCATAATGTGAGCAAAGGGAGTTTTTCCTTCAATGACTCTCCGAAATCAACACCACTGAGAGCAAACATAAAGAACACACAAGGCTCCAAAATGAATTTGGATTATAAAAATGTTCATGCTCACCTGAGAGTCTATAAATGAATGTGCTAAACAGACATGGCTGTTTTCATCTACTAGTTAATATGGCTTTTTATCGTCGCAGCCAAACCACAATAATCCCTCAAGAGCCCAGCTGCCAATCAACACTTAGTTAACGGATGTGATTTGCAGAGTTGTATCAGGAACAAACATGCACTCGGAAATCAGTCTTGACACTCGTGGTGTGCCAGCAGAAGGATGTGTTAACTGTGAAAAAGCAAACATTTGTAATTACTGTGGCAAACACCATTGCTTGTTTTTTTCTGCAGCTCTGTTCCTTAATATTCGAACATCACTTCATAGCTTGTTGATGTGTGAAATAAAAACAGTTCTGAGAAAATAATTTAACAGCTGTAGAAACCTTATTCCAGTAATCAAATCTTGTATTTCTATCCCAAATCCATTTCTATTTTAACTGTACTAAATCCACCTCTTGTAAACACCTCAGAAGATTTTTTTGGGCATAACATTTATAAAAAAAAAACACACTTCAGTAAAGCCTTTACCGTTTGTCAAAAAGCTGATTAAAGGAATATTTAACCAACAAAATGATCATTTGTATATGAATTATTCACCTTGTGTTACACTGAATTTGCAAAAAGAAAACTTGAGCATTGAGCATAGCGTTAGTTCAGCCAGAACACTATGTCAAGCTCAGCTCCCATCCCAGGTACATCAGCTGATCTCAAACAGCAAATCAACTGATGGATCAGCTGATTGATTGAAAGGAGTCAGCTGATAGATCACATGATTCCTCTCAATGCAACAAATTGGCAAATTTCATTCAGGCCTACTGTTGCTGCTTCCTCTGCAAGCTGCTTTGCAACCCACCCCAGCTCCTCCTTTTGCTGTGTCTGACTATCAGTGTCATATCTGTTTGTCATTGATGTTGGCTCTGTTCTGTTCCCGGGGGTCTTTGCTGCTGCTCTTCCTGCCTTAGGCTTTCCATGTAGGCGCATGGAAGGGCAGGGAGGTTTGCTCTCTCTGCCTCAGGTTTTCCTTGTTTGCACGTGGAAGGGCAGAAAGGTGTGTGCTCTCTGCCTTGGGCTTTTCATGTAAGCGTGTGGAAGTCGCAGAGAGGCCCCAGTACAGAGCCATACCACCAAATATAATACTGCAAATGGAAATAGCTTTCTTTGACTAAAGTGTTCCTGACTGAAACTTGTTTTTCTGAAGTCATAGGGGACCAGGATTAACAAAAGCAAAACTATGTCAAAGCATTCCTTCACAAGCTTTCACAAAACTTGTGCAATGTAATCTAGGTCTCATTTATCGAGTTTAGTTCAGTCAAAAAAGTAATTTTACCTCGCTGGACACGGGAGCTGCTGGTCTTCCACTGCCTCCATCTGTAGTTTGTTTGTGTTACTGCGTGACTTGATGTTTTAAAGGATTAGTTTAGATTCACAAAGTCATACAATAACAACAAACAACAAACAAACTATAGAATGCAATTTCTGAAGAAATTGCGGATGTGAATGCTGATGCTGAATAGGTGACGCTTCACTGCAATGCTGGCTTGGAATTTGAATAATACCATGAATGTATGAATGATGTGGAATATTTTAAGGTTGTTTGAAAAGCTGATGCTACACTGCAATAATGTGTAAGAAGAGGTGAATGATCAAGGCGGTGGTAGACCAACAACTCCTGAGGTGAAACTGTTGTTTTTGTCAGTAGAGTCTGGCTTTGAAGTGAGCATAGATTTAGAGTTTCACTTTTAGTTCACTTTAAGTTCAACTCCATGTCTGAAAGGGCTGTGTGTTTTGGAAGTACTGAACATGTGACTGGATAGATGAGACCTGGATTATACTGCATAAATTGTGTAAGAATTTGTAAACACATCTTTTGATATAGTTTTTCTGTTGTCACCTTTGACTTCTCAACAGTCTCAACAGTATTTGATCTGTGAGTTGTGAAACAGTGACAAGTAGCCCTAGCAGTCATGACCTGAGTCCATTAAATGTGTCACTTAATATACCATATGTTTTTCACTCTTTCCTCTGAATTAAAGTGGTCAGTATCCATGCTGCCGCTCTTCAATAATAAATTAAAGCAAACCTAACATATAGAAGGAAAGCTGGAGGGGGGGAATGTGATGATTAGTCCACATCCCCACTGTGGCATAAAACCACATTTCCACATTTCAGTTCTTATCTCTTTCATTCTACTTGAAAGGAAGTCAGCTCGCAACATGGTCAGTCTCTCTTTGTATTTCTGAGAACCATTATCAGTGAATGTGAAGAAAGTCGAGTTAATTTTTCACATGACCAAAAGTTTATATGGGGTCCTCTCAGTGAGAGAAAAACACTTTGTGTGCTTAAACAAAAAATGTAATTCATGACAAAAAATATTTTTTTTCTTTTGTCTTCTTTGTCAGCGTAGTACAATATCATTTTCTCAAATCATGTGCAATACTACTTTTTGTTGTTATATCATACACAATATAGCATTGATTATTAGGTGCAGTCTGTTTTTTCAACCATTTTAGTTCATTTCTAGTAACTCTTGTACTTATCTTACTCCTATTGTTTTTCTGTTAGGCACTGGTTTTGCTTTTTCTCCTTGAATATACTTATTAGCGTATATATTTTTAGATTTTGCCAGATATTTAATATTCTGTTGTTTCTAAAAATGGGCCCAGTGAGTGACCCTGACCTGGAAAACCCACTGGTTGTTATGGTTGTTAGTGGTTGTGAACGTTAAATTGTGGTTACTGTACTTTACTGTAATTTGAAGCATTCTGTGGTACAAGAATTTCTATTGAATTTAATTTTCAAATATTTATACTATAATATTTGATATATTTACCATCCAAGTAAAGTCCCAAGGGAGTCAGACTGAGATGGAAAGCTATGGTGATAGCAGTTGTAGTGCAGTGTTGGGCAGAAGCGTCAAGTAGTGACGCCACTAATTTAACTGCGTTTTCAACCCATTGTCACTCCGACCTTCGCGCATATTGATGTGCTTGGTCATGGACTTTACACATCCACATATGACGTGCAAGGTACCCTGGGTGCCTTTGGTCTTGACATTCTGGTGACACTGTGTCAAGTTCTGCCTTTTACATGCATTGTCTTCTTTCAAAATACACTTACGTTTTCACAGGTTATTTAACATTTACATACAGTCTCTTTCAAAATAAACCCTCTATGTCGGTACAATGAACGAATTGATGTTTTCTTTCCTTCAACAACAAACACACATGTTTGGGTTTAGGAAAAAAGAACAGTGTTTGGCTTTAGCATCTTACGGGACATGAACACCGCTCTCTAGGTTGACAGTCAGTGTTTGTTGGATCCATACACCACCCCTCCCGCACAACCCACTCGGACATTCGCTGCCTTAACTCTTTTCCTTGTCCCACCGTGTTTCCCCCTGACGCTGACGTTATATATATCATATTACTGTAATGCAAGCAGCCGCGAATCATACCAACGTTAAAGGACGCCTTTTTTTGTTGGTTTCTGGCACAGCAAGTCATTGCCCAAGCGCTGGATTTTGACGACTTTGGAGTGAGACTGGGCTTGCATTCTCAGTGGCGTGGTGGCGATGTCACTACTTTCTGCGTCAAATAGCTTTTCAGTAGCGAACTAGAAAAGTAGAAAACTCTAAAATGCAGCAGACTTTGTTTTCTGTGGAGGTCTGGATAAAAATAAGGGTAATATCTAGGATAAGTAATGTGACTGATGCTACTGCCACACCGAGGCATGTAGGCAAGGAAAGCACTTCCACATCACATAGGCTACCTTTTGTTTGCTGCTTTCACTATTGGCTTTTCTTGACCCACCCTCTCTGCCTCGGATTGGCTACATTGCGCTTCTTGACGTGTCCCTCAAGTGTCTTGCCCCTTACAGTAAACAGTTCAACTGCACATTTTTTGCATACCTAATTGTTTGTCTGACAGTTTTTCTTATCACTGAGAAAATGCTGATTTGAAATAAAGTCAAAAACATAAAAGTAGCTTTGTAAGCAGCAAGCTATTTTTGCCTTTTTCTCGTAGCTTAGCTCACTACATTTCTCTGTGGATAGCTTTAGTGTAATGAAACTGGTAGCTAAGCTCACTACATTTTCCAATCTCGGAAACAAGGACGCCCCATAACTGGACTGTGAACTATTCTATCAGGGAAAGCAGTTGCTGTGGCAGAATTTAATTTATGTAACAGTAATCTGAATTTCTAAGTATTAATTGCTTTTATATTGAGAATTTACATAGATCTGATACCTTTTGTAAAACTCTGTTGTGATTAGTTTTAGTATGAATAACAGACTTTGGTGAAATGTTTTAGATTTACCTCGCCTAGGGATTTTCAGTCTTACAACAAATGAAATAAATCAACTCAATGGCTGGAGGTGTGTGGGTGTTAAGTCCGTGTATCAAGTCATAATGCTCCATTTATGGGTCGAGGTTGAGTTTACAGATTGTTCATGTGCATTTATTGCCCCTTATGTGTGGGATTTGCTATGTAGGAGGTTTGTTTGTGTATGCAAGTGTTCAGTATGGGGGAGGGGATGACGGTTAAGTTGAATACAACTAATCTCTCCTATTTTTTTCCCTTTCGTTTGTCTCACCCAGGATGCTGCAGACGAAGCTTCATGACTAAACCTTCCCAGCTATACGGACGCTACAACTGGAAGTTTAACTGACAGTGGAGAAGAGAAGCGAACACACAAGCATTTAACACCGGGAACCTGAGAAAAAGGCTTTGCTGATCACAGCATTTCAGCAAACTTCTATACAACTGCCAAAAGCTATATATGGATATCGAACAATTACCCACAGGATGGCTAGATTTTTTTATTCTTCATCTGGTTTTTGATGTGCATCATGTGACTGTAACGTCCAGGCTTTTCATTATCATCAAAGACATGAGACACAGCCAAGTTTCAGTGTAAAACCTCAATTTAGAAGGCTTCACGTGGACTCGAGAATAGATAAGAGAGAGGCAACAAGCGAACCTTGTGTATCTGTCGTCATCATCTTCCTACATGCAGCTCCCCGCTTAGCTTTATTGAAAAGGAGGAGCCCATTAAAGCATTTGATAGATAGTACGGTTTGGTCTGAAGGTGTTGGTGCCGGCTGGCTGCTGGTTGGAGATGAGATAAGAGTGTTGGGAAGAGAGAGAAAAGGAGTGCATGTCTGACAGGAGCTGAATACAAATTAGGATTCGGCTCTCCTGCAGCTACACCAGCGAGAGGATCAATATTGGAGGGGTGAAATGGACAAATTAACCGGCTTCAATTACAGCAGCATGTGATGTAGATGGAATTAGGAGTTTCGCTGAAGGTTTATTTGAAATCACAATACAAGGGAAATGAAGGAAAATAAGGAGGATAAAAGATAAGCTTCTGCAATTTGTACAGCCAGAACCAGCAGTGCCATGCCACTGTACAGCCCTCACCAGCGCCATGCCTGAACTAATGTGACGAGGCTGGTTTAAACCTCACAGAAACAAAGGTTTAACAGAAGCAAAGGCGACATGGAGCTGGATAATAGCTCACTGGACTACTTTAGCAGCAACTTCACAGAGATTCCCGACACCACAACAACACCACCCTGGAACAAGACCACGCTGCTCGGCCTCCAGATCTCCCTGTCTGCACTCCTAGCTCTCGTCACCCTGGCTACTGTGCTCTCTAACGCCTTTGTCATTGCCACCATCTTTCTAACCAGGAAGCTCCACACCCCTGCTAACTTCCTGATTGGCTCCCTCGCCGTCACAGACCTGCTGGTGTCTATTTTAGTCATGCCAATCAGCATCGTCTACACCGTCAGCAAGACCTGGTCGCTGGGGCAGATTGTTTGCGACATCTGGCTGTCGTCTGATATCACCTTCTGCACGGCCTCCATCTTGCACCTGTGTGTGATCGCATTGGACCGCTACTGGGCCATCACAGACGCGCTGGAGTACTCGAAACGCCGCACCATGCGCCGGGCAGCAGTCATGGTTGGGGTGGTGTGGGTGATCTCCATATCGATTTCCATGCCTCCACTTTTCTGGCGGCAGGCCAAAGCCCACGAGGAGCTGACAGAGTGCATGGTGAATACTGATCAGATCTCTTACACCCTATACTCCACCTTCGGCGCCTTCTACGTCCCCACAGTGCTCCTCATCATCCTCTACGGACGGATCTATGTCGCCGCCCGCTCCCGCATCTTTAAAACACCTTCTGCCTCTGGGAAACGTTTCACCACAGCACAGCTCATCCAGACCTCTGCGGGCTCATCTCTCTGTTCTCTTAATTCTGCCTCCAACCAGGAAGCACACCTACACTCTGGCAGCGCAGGAGGAGGGGGAGGGTCGCCTCTGTTCATGAATAGTGTGAAAGTGAAGTTGGCAGACAGCGTGCTGGAGAGGAAACGTCTGTGCGCGGCTCGGGAGAGGAAAGCGACCAAGACGCTGGGCATCATCCTGGGCGCTTTCATTGTCTGTTGGCTCCCGTTCTTTGTGGGCACGCTCGTCATGGCCATATGTAAAGAGTGCTGGTTTGATCCAGTGCTTTTTGATATATTTACCTGGCTGGGATACCTGAACTCCCTCATCAATCCTGTTATCTACACCGTATTCAACGATGAGTTCAAACAGGCTTTCCAAAAACTCATTAAATTCAGACGATGCTCCTGAAAAAACGGATTAAAACTGCAGCTCTTGGAAAACGGGGGCGAAAAAGACAAAGAGAAAACAAGATAATAATAATGATAATGGAAGTACTAAATGTTCCATCTCGTAAACACATGCTAATTGTGATTTGTTTTTTATATCAAACTGCTCCGTGCCATAGCTCTTTAGATACCATATCCTTCATATAGACTTATGCATGCATGCTAAAAAAAGAATTCATTTTGACCCAGAAGAATTGTGGAACTTATCAAAGGGACACTGCTGTTATTTCTTGGACAAAAGCCGACATCAAACAAGGTTTGGTGTAACTGTATAGAAAGAGCAAACTCAGAGGGACTGGGTTTAATCCAGCGGAAATGAAAAGCCATGAAATGTATGTTGTCTTAATCTCTGTGTTATGCTGTATGCTGCTGCTCCCATATAATGTTTCTGTGGTACAGTAAAGTACTTAGAAAGACTGCAAAACTCTAGAGATTCAGTAAAACTGTCGCCATATATGCAATTATATTTTAAAGTGGTGTGCGTGTGTGTGTCTGTGTGTGTGTGTCTGTGTGACTGTGTGCAAAGGTAGTTACTTTACTGTAATATATGCGTGTTTGAGGAATGGAGGATTGTCAAGTGTTTGACATTTATACATGCTATTCTCCAGCAAGGCTCGTCTCGTCGTTACAGAGACAGAAATGGAAAAAGCATTTTCACTCTGCCTCTGAATTTTAAGTAACAGCCAATGCCATAGCAACAAATAAACCCTTTCAAAACTGTTATGAAATGATGCGCTCGAGCAAAAAGGACAAGGTAAGAGCAAATAATCAGAGTCCCGGCCACTCAGAGGAAATTGAGACTAATTTTTTGCCATTTAATGTGTTTGTTTTCTTCATGTAAATGCTTCTTTTACAGTTATATGAAAGAGTTTTATTGGCAGATGATTGGTACTTGCAGGAAAGGTGATTCACTGATGTTAAAATGACCATGACAAAAGATGAAATGGCTGATTTCAGTGTTTTTAATGGTGTCTTTGTGTCTTCTGGGCTTACATGGTGTAAAAAATGTCTGTAAGAGGTGGAACTCAAAGTTGACAGTGAAAATTAATCTGAATATTTGATAAAGATAAAAGATTTACTGACAAAAAAACAACTTTATTTGATAAATATAACCATCACTCTGTGTGTGCCATTTACCATGAGACAGTTGCATTTGTATGAGCGGTCAGGCCTATCATTTAACACACTGACCCTTCTCTTTCAAAAGGTACTGCAACTAGATTTCTATGGTTTCTATTTGAGCAGCTGTTGAAAATAATAAAATGTGTTAGCCAGGATCTTTAAGGAGCTCTTTACAATATTCAAATCATTAACACATCACCAATTAATTATTTGCTATTTAAAATACAGTAGAGTAACAGCGTCCTGAGCTGAGAATGAAGTCACGCTAAGTCTGTGTGTGTTGTACTCTGAGCTTCTCTGTTTTTTGTTGAGGTAGATCGTCCGGTCGAATGTGCATGTTAGTGCACGTGAATCCCCGTGTGTGTATCCCACTGGCTAGCTCATCGCCCATGCTGTGCACTGCTCATATGGCACTAAATAAGGATGACATGACAGCTCCCAAAAAGTGAAGCCAAAACATCTTGATCACTCCCTGGTGGCTGGCTGCAGTATAAGTCATAAACCAACCCCCTCCATGTTAGTCAGTGAGACATGGCTCAAACTAAACTACATCAAATATAATTTTGCCAAATATGGCTTCTGTCATTTCAGGTAGTTATAATGCTGATGTATGTTCAAGTGTTCATCTGTCTGATAAGTTTGGATTTAATTAGTCATTTAATGCTATAGAAGGAGGGTCTGACATCATGATTGACAGCTGTGTGTGCCAATCAGTGTGCACGCAATGGTGCTGCTCACGATCGGTCGGATGGGTGTATGGGCGAGTACTCTATACTGCGGAGATCTCTACTGCAAAGACTCTGGCTCCAAATGATAGCACCACAGTAAGATAGCAACAGCTGTATTTTGGATATTTGACTTCATTTTTGTGCAGCAGCAGGACGTGGAGACACGTTGTCCATCTTTATGCACAAACTTTGGTCCTGACCAATAGCATCATCGCAGATGTGTGGTACCCGCTGTCCAGTTCTCCCGGGTTAACACTCTTCACTCTATCAACACTGTTGTCCTTGTTAGCACTGTTAGCTACTAGCAGCCAGCTCAGCCACCTCCATGTTGAGAGCCGTGTGCAGACCATCTCTGAATCATAGATATGCTCTGAATATTGTACAGAGCTCCTTTAAAGGGCCAGTGTGTAATATTTGGCATGGTTTATTGTCAATCTGAATCTGAATCTGAATATTCTACCCATTAATATGTTTATATAAGTGTATAATCGCTATAAAATAAAATTCGTTTGGTTTTCTTAGCCTTATAATTATGCTTTTATATATATATATATATATATATATATATATATATAGCAAGGGCCTTGCTTTAGAGAGGTCGCCATCTTGCGCCGCCATGTATGTACGGCAGCCCGAGCGGACAATCCAGCCAGCCAGAGAATGCGTTTCGCGTGTATAAATAAACCAACGAAGACAGCGGGAGGAAGGAAGAAGGAGGAGGAAACAGCAGAGAGTGTTAGTAGTTCGTCGATGGAGAGTAGTGAAAAGTTTGTTTAGTTATAAAGTTTGCGAATGGACCACATTTACCACGCAACAGGAGAGAATGAATCCGAACTGTCATCTGCGAGGAAAAGAAGACGCAACTTCACTCCTTGTGATGCACTCTCTGCGGCGCTTTTCCTCCTGATGATATATCTCCCCAACGATGGTAGCGGTAGCACCGAATCCCATTCTGTGCAGCAAAATGGGAGTGGAGGATTCAGCCTCTCTTCTCGCCCGCTCAGTGTACTCCGGCTCTCATCTGTATGCTCCGACTCAAACAGGTATGGCTCTGGGTCTGTGTCCGCTACAAGAAACTCTTCAAAATCGCGTTCAAAGTGGTCCATTGCAGCTACTATAGTCCGGAGATATTGCTAGGCTAAATAAACAGCTGAGCTCTGTTTACAGGCTACACTGTCAGTCAGTGTGCGGGCTGGAGGTTGGTGGAGCAGAGAGGGGAGGGGGTCCCCGCTAGGTAGTGTAAACGAGTATGTGTGTATGAAGTGTGTGTGTTACGTTAGAAGAGTCAGAGTTTGGGACAGAGTCTTTTACCCCCTGGAGTGTTACCAGAGTTTTTGGAGTGCTCAAATAAACGGGCCTTTTTCCCGAACGCTACTCTGGTCTCCTGCTTGTGAGTGATCCATTACAATATGGTAACATGGTTTAGATTTCTAAATAAACATTCACCTCGTCGCTAGATAGACCTACTCCTGAAAAACTTGTGTCTGCGCAAGGCTTTTTGTCCCTGCGAGGCCACCGTCATTTACCTGACGGGAGGGGTGAGCAAGTGAGCCATGCAATCTAGAATCTGACCACTGATGTCACTGTTTTCAACCCATTTTACACACTGGCCCTTTAACAAATATTTAAAGCTAATGTCTGTTCTGATGGTGAACAACAAGTAAACAAGTCAGTGTGAAGTGTTTGTGGGATAAATTCATACTGTTAGCCAAATTACAACATTCTGCTTGATATGAGAAAACTGATCAAGTACACTGGGTGTGGCTTATGAATGACACACTGCTGCATAGTGCAAATGTGAAATGACAAACAGTTATGAGGAATGATGAAGTCCTTTTAAATTATCTAATGAAGTCTTTTCATCAAATAATTCTTTTTTATTTAACAAAACAAGCAAAATCCTCAGATCAGTTATTGTATTTTTAACTTAATAAAACTGTCCTCTTTAAAAATGTTAGTTCCACATGTCAGAGACATGTCTCCTGAACACACTGAAACCCCCCAGAAATCATATTTATTTCCTCAGGTGTGTGCAGCAGTAGCAGTTTTTGAATTATTCAGCACCTGAGTTTCCACATCAAATATAAACAGCAACTTTTAATGCAACAGCCATTCAAGGTCAAATTACCCTTTTTTTACTACTCTTAAAGCAGCTCATGTGGTTAGTCATGTGCAGCATATATCCTTAAGGATAAGGAAGACATTGAAAAAAAGAGGTGAAGAAACCTCACTGTGTGAGATATGTGACCTGAATTTCTGTTACATTTGCTGCAAGTTGATTTAGTCCTTCATGTATGGAGTCATCAGAAAATATCTTTTTTACATCTCCGATTTTTATCCAGAATGTACATACTTAAATTTTGAGGTTGAATGTTAAAAGTGGAAACAGATAGCCCATCAACCTCCACTTGCGTTTTCAAGTTGAATTATTGTTCACACTGCTGTCACAATGACAACTGGATCGCAAGAGTATTTTGCAGAGCCTAGCAACTACCAACAACACAGGACACACTGCATTTTGTTTTGCACATTTACTTGGGTTTTTCCACTGTCTGCCGTTTCCACTAAGGATAGTTACTGTGAAGAACTCACAGTTATGCTTTTCAACTTATGTTTATAGAGCGGTATGTATATATGAAAATGCACGCACAACAGTTTGTATTATATCCTACAAATTAGCGCCCCATGAATGACATTAAAGTTACATAATTGTTAAGTTCCTGTGGTTAGGTTTTAGGAAAAGAAACATGGTGAGGACATACCTTAAGCTCCGTTTCCACCGAGCAGTAAAGTATGGTACACTTTTTTTTCCATTTCCACTGTGAAAAGTTGTGGATGGTACCAATGCAACATTCTGTACCGTCCCAATTTTTGGTCCCCCCTCTGTTGGGGTACCTAGCACACAGATCTGGTACTAAAAGTCTGTTGATTGGTCAATAGTGGACAGTCACTCTGCTCAGGGCTGAGCTGTGGCTGGTTTTGTAACCACTGCTTGTACCATGGAGAGTTATACATATATTAGTTAACTGTAACTATCAAATGAAAGGATGTTTTGCTACCTCTTGCAGCAGCTGGAGTCGCAGAAAAAATAATTTAATTCACTAGGCCGACTGCCGGCAACTTTTAAGGTAGAACGTGAACTTGTAATGTTACTCAATACTTGAGCTGACGGCTGGAATCCATCAGCACACCTTAAATTTCACTGTGACAACTTCGACCATTACTTTAGTTTTTATATGACATACACTTTTAGTAATGAGTGGATAAGTCTTTACATATGTTAATTTTTGACTGGGTTATGTGAACTGCATATATTCTAATCCTCACTTGGAGAAAAAAAAGCGCTGCGGAGCGTAGTTCCTGTGGGCTCCAGCAACACTAAACCCCTGAGCTTGCCTGAGAAGGACTAAATGTGCAAACAAGCTATTTTGAAATATCCCACTGAGAGAGACTCTCACTGCAGCCTGGTCTACTTTGTTTTGAAAATGTCTGCTTCAACCCTGGTCTATGGACGATAAATGAGGAGCAGACATTCCTCCGTGTCACCGGTGAAGAGCCAAGATATGCAGCGATTGCTGGCAGAGTAGTGAGTGACAACAACCCCGCCCACATTTAAGGGTACTGTTTGTGGTGGAAACGCTAAACGGGCCTAAGGTCTAGGTATCACATCTGAAGGCTTACTTACCAAAGGTACCATACTGTAAGTATTTGGTGGAAACGGAGCTTTAGAATGAGTCAAAGTTCACATGGTTCCAAACACGCCTTTCTGTGGAAACGTCATGGGGGAAAGTCTGTGATTCGTGATCTGTCCACCACCCTTCCTTGTTTACTCCCATCAGTGCACTGGTCACATGATCACAGCCTTCTAAAATATGTTGGTTATGCACAAATTACTGGCTCATGATTACATGGGATATGTACAAATTTGGGTGCGTTACTTTTGTATGAAAACAGTTTATGAAAACAGCCTGTTGTCTTTAGTAACGGGAAAACTAGCGATACCTACTGGGGAAAACAAAAGCACTTGTGTTTTGGTTACACCATGGTCGAGCCACTCTGTTTGTGCTGTGAATCAAGCCTTCATTTTCCAGGGGTATTGTACCTGGTGGCAGACAGAGCTGCATAGTGACAGTGTAAGAATAAGAATAACTTGATTCATCCCTGAGG